TGAGTTTCACAGGTGGGAATTTTGTGATAACTAGAAGGGAAATATGTCACACACAGTTAGGGTTAACATTTTAAAAAGTTCAGCAAATTTCAAAAAGACATTTGAAAAGTATACTAATACATTTAAAAAATTAGTATTATTTGTCCAGTAAACATTTAAGGTGTTTCTTGACTGATCTCTCTCTCTGTATATATCTGTTGATGACTCTGAATAAATAACCTAAATTTTATGTTTCTCAGCATTCTCATCTGTAAATTGAAAGTAATAATAGTATGTAACTGTATTTTATTAAGGGCATTTTATAAGATAATACGTATGAAGTGCTTAGAAGAGTTTCTGGCAAATAAAAGGGCTATATAAATGTTCACTGATGTTATCATTATTATTTTTGATTGCCAGAATATGTTGCCTTTTTTAGTAAATCTTACATTTTGGAAGTTTTTTGTATAATGGCCAAAGCCACTTTTCTTTTTTTCTTTTTTATTTCTTTTTTATTTTTTTTAAGATTTTATTTTTACTTATTTGTCAGAGAGAGAGACAGAACACAAGCAGGGGGAGAGGCAGGCAGAGGGAGAAGCAGGCTCCCCACCAAGCAAGGAGCCCGATGTGGGACTCGATCCCAGGACCCTGGGATCATGACCTGAGCTGAAGGCAGCAGCTTAACCGACTGAGCCACCCAGGCGCCCCCAAAGCCACTTTTCAAGATAGAATAATACATTTCAATGTAAATTATACCTTATATTTTAATAAAAAAAGAATATCATATTATCTGATTTTATTCTCATAATTAGATATTAAATCAGAAAAATAAATCTATTATTCATGGTTATACAGTTAGTAAATGGCATGTCTGGGATTTAAGTTCTAATTTCAACATTGCTTCCCAGATAGTCCACTGTGACTTTTTTGTCTGAATTTACTATTTAATTGATCATTTAAATATATAATTCTACAAAAATAAAATTCTAAATAATTCTGGAAGCAGAGGACTCATAGAAGCAGCTGAATGTTTTTACTTGAAATCAGTATATCCAACTGTGTTAAAAAAGTGAAACCAATTTGATAATTTTATTTATTTAAATCTATAATCTCATGCTTGATACAATGGCCAGGAGTTGAAAGTATCAGTTGTGAAAATGTAAAGTATCAAAGTATATCTTAGAAGTGATGGTATTCAGACTTACCAGTCATGTGGCAAATAATAAGTATCAGGGACTGTAATTTCAGATAATTTGGAGAATTTTCAACCATTCCCAAACTATATGTGTGATGAATTATCTGAGCTATACTGCTTGATAGAGCTTCTCAGAAATACATGAGCTCTGTTTCTATAGTACCCTAGTAGCAATGGGAGAATGTGGTTAGGAAGCCTAAAACTCACCCTCTAACTGAAAGACACAGAGGTTACCAGCCATCAAGTGGGCTTTGGGATATACATTTTATTAATGGCTGTGTTCTAGTAATCTTTTCTCTAATACAGACATACTGTCTTCAGACAAACTGCCTTGGAGAATATAGCTTTGATATAAAACCGAATGGCATCACCTATTCCAAGTTCATTTTTAGGCCTTGGGATCTCTTGGGGAAGAAAATCTGAGTCTATTAAGTAGATCCTGAATGGTTATGTGGCCAGATGCAAAGTCCAAGTCCTGCCTGGCATACACAGTTCCAGGCAAATCAGAAAGGCAAAATGCTAGAGGATGTGGGTGGTGAGAGTGAGTGATTTGGTATACTTATATCTGTAATCATCATTATGGAAATGGGCCAGTGATTACAGACAGATCTAAGAGGATAGACATTTTAGCACACAGAAGCATGGACTTTACACTGTGACATATATACAACCATATGTAGACCAGAACAAAAACTAGAGGCTAGAAAACTAGAGAACAGGAGACTAGAAATGTTCACTCAAATGATCCTCTATTCTGGAAAGGAAATGGATATCTGAGAAGATGGTAATACAGGTGGTTTCTAAAACATTGCCTCTCAAACCACAATATAGCCATGACTCACTTGGAATCTAGTTTAAATGTGGATTCTGATTCAGTAGGTCCTGGGATTCTGCTTAGGTGATGCTGATGCTTTTAGCCTGTGGACCACTCTTTGTATAGCATGGCTATAAGAGAAATGTCTGAACCTCTTTTGGAGCCTCTTTCAAATATTTTTTGGAAAAGTGAGATATTAGATATCAAAAGAGATATATAGAATAATCTAATATCTATGTATGTCTTTTGATCTCTATAATTTCACTCATTGAGCTTCCATTTAATCATCTTTAAAACAAATGACAATTCTTAAATTGTTTTGTCGTAGAGCAGTTTAGAGATAATGTATCCAAAAATACTCAGAACAGATCCTGGCTTGTTGTAAGTGCTCCCCACCTAATAGTAGCTACTAGTGTAATTATTACATAAAAGAAAAGGGGAGTTCAACTACAGTATGTTGATACTGATCATTTGAATTCAGATTTAAAAATAACAAAAATGAAAGAATCTCATGACTAAAGATATACATAAAATAGTAGCAGGGCATATGGGAATCAAGTGAATATAATATTAGGTTGCATTAATACATGTTAAATATCTATATTAAGGAAAATACTAGAGAGACATGTCTGGACTTTCCAAGGAGTTATCGTAAACTTAAAAGATACTTACCTGCCAGTTAATAAGTTGGATTTGGAGATACCATGGTCAACTCCAAGCTTATTATTCTTATTCTGGTATGTTGACAGATGGAGTATACCCAGAGGGGGGCAACACTGGTGGCAATTCATCCAAAAGGCATTTCAGGTGAAAAATGTTAAACAAAGCAAAACAAAAACACAAAATAAAACAAAAACTTGCATAGAAATCAGAAAGTTGGAGAGCAGGTGGGTGGGATAGAATGGAGAACCCTATCAAATGGATAAAAAATAGTCTTACCTCTAGCTTATTTCTAGTGGCAAAACTGAAACTAGCAGAAATTATAGGTTGGCAGGTTTATGCATAATATAAAAGCTATTTCTAATTGCTCATGTTTCCCAAAAAGGAATCTGTTTACTCAAAAGTTAAATCCCTATTGTAGAATGTGAAAGCAGATGCTTCATACCCTCTCTGCAGGGATGTTTTAGACCAGGCTTCTGCTAAAACTGCACAGTTGGGCTAGGCCCTTCAACCCTAAATTCTAACTCTAAATTCTAGTATTCTAATACAGTAGATATTTGCCAAAAAATAATCAAGAAATACTCCCTAATTCGTTTGATAGGCATTGACAAAAATGATTGTTTCCTTAAACTTCTTTAATTACTTAATAGTAATGAGAACTCAATAATCTGTAGTGTTCTAAAGTTTTTTAAATACTTGTTTGCATATTATCTCACTTAGTCTACCATTTGAAATTCATTAATTTTAATTTTTATTTCCAAACTTTCTTGTTTACTTCTTCCAATTTATCTATTTACAACTTTATAAAATTTGAGATGAAAATATACAATGTTCACATTTTGGCATTGATTTTATTTTATTTTTTTTGGCATTGATTTTAGAATCTTGCTGACATTTTGACTGATTTTTCTTTCCCTAAAATATAATGGAAACTCTTTTACTCAATTTTTTCACTGCTGGCATTTGTTGATTTATTGAAAAAGTCATTTTAAGTGAGAAATCTTTAAAAATGGCACATATATACCTAAATTTTATATCTATGTATCAATCTATCTATATGAATCAGTGCACATTTATTTACTAATATTTGGGGTCCATTGATTGGATTTCCACATATCCTATCTTCCTTGCATTAGTCACATTCAAATGATTTGCAGTTTTGTTAATTTCATAGTGAGACATAACTCAAGAAAATTATGAAGCAATCAGAATGAAAAATGCTTCTGGGTCCCCCTCCCCATTTTCGCTAACTACTACTGGGTATCAGTTAGGAATACTTCAATTGCAAATAGTCAAACAACTCTTCCTATGGCTTACGTAAATTTCCTCCTCCTCTCTTCCTTCCCTCTATCCATCTTTCCTTTCTTTCCTTCATTCATTCCTTCTTTTCTTTGTCTTATTGTAAAAGAAGTCTGGAGGTAAGTGATGGGTGACATTAGGGTAATCAAATTCTCTCAACTTCTCCTGGCCTTGCCCTTATGATCAGTCACAAATGGGTGTCACAGTTCCCAGCATTAGGATCATGTTCTAGAGACATCTGCCCTCTTTATGAGGAAAGCAAATTTTTCTCACTTGCCACCAATTTATGAATGTATATGTCTCATTGGCCAGAACGGTGCCAGATGACTACATCAATTTGAGTATTTTAGCTGGCTCCAACTCTGTGAGGTCTCAGAATGGAAAAGGTCTGGGAATGGGTGTTGGGTTAGCAAAGCAGTAATATCTGTTGATCCTATCTTTTACTAATGTGTCTTTTCTGACTTTTTATAAAGGTCTTGACCTAATTTTCATAGATTCGATTACTTCTTTTTGTACTCATATTTTATTAGTATTTGTAGAAATTAAATTGCATAATTACAGTATTATATACAATGGCAAATAATTGTTTTGAGAATAAATACAAATTGATTTTGACAAACATATAACTCACTATAAGATCAGAAGTGCATGGATATATTGCAAAATCACTACTAGCTGGAATAGTGCATTGTTTCCTGAAAATCAGTTGAATATATTTTAGAGGGAAATTCATAGGTAATCCAGAAATGGGATTAAGTGGTGACTGGCTAAAAAGGTTAAAAAAGTTAAAATGATCATTGCTAGAGTAATTTTTCATCATCATCAATATCATATAATTATATATATATATAATATGTTTAATATGTATATAGAGAAGCTTAATACCCTTTTGAAACTACAGGGAGTATAATATATAATTTTTTTAAAAATGTACATTGTACAATCCCTAATTTAAATCCAGTCTTTTAGAGCAATACGAAATAGATAATTCCACTTATCTGTGAGCTTTTCAAGGTGCTAGCCTGTATCTTACTTGATTTGTATCTGTAATAGGCAGCATATATCCGGTACATGAAAAGTTCTCACTACAAATTTCATTGAATGAAGATGATGATGATGATGATGATGATGATGATGATGATGACGAAGATGTTAGAATACCATATTGGGTGATATGGAACCAACTTAGTAAGAATTTCAAATAATTTATTCTTATCAATTTCATGTTTGTAAGTTCTGTGTATGTTTGAGTGAAGCAGTTACCACTCTCATTTGTCAGATGGAAAATCTACTTTGGTTTGGCATTCTAGGATTTGCTGTTGTTTACTAGGCAAGTAAATGCTAAAACCCACCCATTTCATGTATAATCAAACTTTCCTACACATTACTAACAATGCTAGATTGTTTGGCTAATTGTAGAGACAGCAAGAACATATTCTTAATTGAATGCATAATAGTAAGTAATAGACTGTAAATATTTAAGTGGGAGAAAATGTTGCATGCTTTTTTTGTTAGAGAACAGAAAACTTGTGCCATTTCCTTTTACAAATGAAAGAGCTTCCTATTTCTGTTTGTTACCAGCTGGAGCTGCTGTTACTTTTATTGTGTTGTTCCCATACTCTTTATAGCTTGAGGCAATAATTCACTCAATTTATGTGAAATAGTTGCATCACCAGTTTTGCTGCTCTCTCTATATATTCATGGGCTTGGTGAAGTTCTAATTATTAAGGATTTTTTCCCTACCTTATGTGGTATAAAGGAAGTTTTAGTTTTAAATTGTCTAAATTCAGTGTAGGTCACATAACATTAAATCTTTTGGCCATGTTCCTTGTGGGATTGCTGTGTGGACATTTTTAAAGCTGTCAAAATTAGTTATTTGTAACAATTTTCTTATTTTGTAATGAAAGAACTTATAGCTAATCCGGAGGCAAAATTTTATATATCTAATAGATATCAATAATAATTATAAATGTTACAGATTTACTATAATGTTTTTACTTCTAGTTCCTCCAGAAAGCCATGTTAAGGTTTTCAAACCATAAAGCTTTATATAGCTGACCACACCAAAACTATTCAATGGTTACCCATATGCTCTATCTCTTAACTTAGTACTAAAATTCTGGTTGCTCTGGGCAATAGTACAACTGATCGATTATAAATTGCTTACCTTGGAATAGAATTTTCTTTAAGATCATCACTTTTCTGGACATCACCATGCCTAAAAACATTATGGTTAATTAAGAATTTTGAGAAATTTGAGAATACATTTTATAATTCATGTATTTTCTACTGTATATTCCTGAAGTTAATTGGTAGCAATATAGTGAGATGGTAACAGGTATTAAAGAGAGTGTGAATACAGGAATAAATCTTTTCATAGATACAAAAAAAAAAAAAAAAACATAACAACACGGAAAACTTTAAATATAAAGCATGAAACTCAAATATATGACTCTGTAATTCCTCTTAATTTCTTTAGTTCTATCGGTTAAAAGAATAAACCATTTATCTCAGTCTTTTACATTCTGATTTTTTGTTTTGTTTGATGGTGATTTGGAAATTTTCAACAGCTTGACCAGAAAATCTGCATGTGGGAAAACATAAGAAATTGACTGAAATGTCTGATACAGAGCCAGAATGGATCTCTGTTGTATTACATCCCAAGAATGCAGATGAGGCAGTTGACAGTTGAGGTGAACCATATAAAGAAGTGTGTCTTTTTTTTTTTTAAGATTTTATTTATTTATTTGAGAGAGAGAGAGAGAGTGAGAGAGAGAGAGCACAAGCAGGGTGAGAGGCAGAGGGAGAAGCAGACCTCCCTGCTGAGCAGGGAGCCTGACGCGGGGCTCAATCCTGAGACTCTGAGATCATGACCTGACCTGAAGGCAGACGCTTCACCAACTGAGCCACCCAGGTGCCCCAGAAGTGTTTCTTAAAATGTGATTTCTGGAGCTGATGAATCAGAATTTTCTGGAGGGTTTATCATAAAGCAAAAAATCTGTGCTTATCCCCCAGAGATTTAATTTAGTATAACTGAGGGGTACCTGGATATTTACCTTTGTGCATAATTTGATCTTAAGCATACTAAAGGTTTGAAAAACAGTGACATATCAATTCTCCATTTCCCACCATATTCTTTATCATATTAAATACCTAGGAAGTAGCATTAGATTTGTCCCCATTGAAATATCCTCATTCATAGTTTAAAATTATGTTATGGTCATGAAGGATACTTCTGAACATTGTACAAAGGAACTATTCACATTATATATCACTTTGCATACAAATGCATATAAGAAGTTATTTTAGAACTACTGACATGGGGGTGCCTGGGTGGCTCAGTTGGTTAAGCTTCAGATAAGATCACACCACTGAACAACACCATGACTGCATCCTCATGAAGAACCTTGATTCAGAAGCTCCAGCTAAGCTGTGCTCTGATTTTTAACCCACAAAAAGTATGAGACAATATATATTTGATGTTTTAAGTTTCTTAGTTTTTGGGTAATTTGTTTTGCAATAATAGAAAACAATTTAGAAGCTAAGAACTTCATTAATCACCTTATTCCCAATTCTAGTATCATTTCTTTGCTTTCTATGTGATCTCTGATTTTTTTAATAAATACTTTATTTTGGCATCAGAAATGAGTTTTTATTTTAAACTGCTCAGTCCTTAAAAAAAAAAAATAAGAGCTTTACTGAGTAAAAAAAATTGCACTGATAACTCATGATTCTTTGTGCCTAGCAAGTACAGCCCTTGTCCAATTTCTGTCACTCAATCTGAATCATAATTGCAAATTAATTTATTTTTTAAGACTTTATTTGTTTATTTGAGAGAGAGAGAGAGCACGAGCTGGGGGGAGGGCCAGACAGAGGGGAGAGGAAGACTCCCTGCTGAGCATGGAGCCCCACACGGACCCTGAGATCATGACCTAAGCTGAAGGCAGATGCTTAACCGACTGAGCCACCCAGGCACCCCTCATTTATTTTTTTTTACTTGAAAATTCATCATATTCTTTTTGAGAAGAATTACCTTTTTAGCATTTAGACCAAAATTATAGTATCCTTTATGGAACTCTAACACTAGAATATTTTTAAAATATTCTGGACACCAGCACTTTTGTTTTATAGATAAATAATCTTTGATCTGTAAGAAAAAAAAAAGATGAAGTGACTTACCCAAGATGAAGCTACTGCTTGAATTAAGATCTAATGACTCTTTCCTAGTGTTCCTCTGATTCTTTGATCATAAATCTACTGGGTGATAGAAGCCAACGTTCAGAAGACTTTTGGGAGATGAGCAATATCTAGCCTAGGACTTGAACCGTGTCATGTATAATTTCCAAAATGGGAGAGCCCATTTTTACCAGTATTTCAAAACTGTTTTCAAATTTCCCTTGGTTTTATATGTTGCAGAAGTTCCACGTACCCCTCTCTCCTTCCATTCCTCCCTTCCTCCCTCTTTCTCTTTCTTTATTGGTGTGTGTGTATGTATGGATATTTCTCACTGCTAAACATTTAACTAAGTTTCCAGTGTTTGTCTTTTCTATGATGGCATCTATAAAGGTGTTGTGCTACTAGTCTTCAGGAACAAAACATTAATAGTGTTAATTAATAGCATAAATAGGATTGCATTTTGGATCTATTATATAGAAAGTGCTTTGGATTTATTTTTGGATAGACACAATGGAAGGAAGATTGAGATAGAAATGCTATTCTAGAATAAAATTCCCTGCATAAAAAGCCACATTTTAGTAGTTGACTAGATTTAAGGCTTGGAGGAAACTATTTTACATCATAATGTTACTGTGAATGAAATTTTAATGATATAATGTGTAAGAGTATTTTAAAAAGTATAAACTGCTTCCCTAGCACTAAGTAATAATATATCTTATTTACATCAATTATCTCTGTTTAAAAGACAGAAGTTGGGTTTGTTTTGGCCTGGAATAAATTAACTTCCCCCATCTTCCTGTTTATTTTGCAAGCATTGACTGCCTCTCTTGCTAGTTTTATGTAAGCTCATGGAAGGTTCTGGAATATCTCTCTGGTTGTATATGGCAGTGGAGTTATTAGACAAATAAATGTCAGGAAGTCAGGGATTTCTTCCCTATCACCATGCACCATCAAAGGCATTACTCTCATTTCTTGTTTAAATAAACTGCCCCCAAACTCCTAGGCCTAAATTAAGTCAACGTAGTTTTAGAGCTCAAGAATGGAATAAGTCACTACAGAGTAAGTCCAGGTGGGACAAAGGAAATCCGGGATGCCAGATGGAAAGTTCAGACTGGCCAGTATCTTTAAAATGTCAGTGCTGTATAAAAAGGCTTTGTAAGCCATCAATCACCCATGGCTCTAGAAACAGGCGGGTGGCTATAGAAATTAGTCTTTTTATCACTAAGCCTTAGAAAATTGTTTTCAAAGTAGGCTGTATTTAAGACCACTTACACAGGTAAATATAAGGAACTGAGAGGAAGATGGAGGAGGAATTTCTAGTAAGATCTTAGTAGTTAATGGAAAAGTAGCCCCCTGTTTTCCTAAATAGTAGGGTCAAATTAAACAAATCCCTATGTTTATTCTACTCTTATGTTGGAATTTGACTTATTTACTAAAACAGGCAGGATTTAAATCTGACTTTCTTCTATTTTTACGTATTTGAAACAAGATTAAAAATTAATATGTTTCTCTTTTGAGCATGACAACCAACTCATAATCCTAGCAGTATCCATTCATTTCAAAATAAAAACATAAAGCAAAACCGCTGGTTTTCAGTAAAAGAGGAATCTCAAAAGGAAATGGCTATAGGCCCTCAATGGTATAAGAAAGCTTTGCAGAGAAGCCTATAGTAGGTTTTAAGAGATTTATTTATTTATTTGAGAGAGAGAGGGAAAGAGGGAGAGAGGAAGAGTAAGAGAGGGGGGAGGGGCAGAGGAATGAGAATCCCCAAGCAGACTCCCTGCTGAGCCAGGAGCCTGAGGACATGGGGCTCCATCTCACAACCTTGAGATCATAACCTGAGACCAAACCAAGAGTCTCACGCTCAGTTGCTGAGCCACCCAGGTGCCCCAGGTGATAATAACATTTTATTAAATAGGGCTAATCAGGGAAGATTTTCATCAAGAAATAGATGAGATAGATTTTTTTAGCAGTTAGTTTTAGGAATAACTTTATATATAAAACATGCTAAT